ATAAAAGATGAATATTTTGATTGGATATGTTACCAATGTTTATTAATATACTAAATTTTACGATCAAGTACCAATATAATGTTGATAATCATAAATAGATTGAAATGGGGTTGAACCTCATATTGATCTGCCCCGACCGGGTTAATATAGACGGGCATACGCCATACAGTGTGCTATGGGGTACATTTTATCGATGGTTTGTCGGCGCTTAGAAACATGATGACACTGTGATGGGCTGAAAGTGATGACACGCAAATCGATACGCAAATAGATATACTCTTATATCGAATTCCAACTGCCAAGTGTTGCTTTACATTTATACATGTGACCTCGGTTCTTCGTCCCGGGGGAGGGGGGGGGGTGAATGGCCGAATGGTTTGCACGTGCGCGGGCTGTATCACACGGTCTGCCATTGAGTCAACTGGTGGGGTTTCGATTCCCCGGTTGTACTTCGTGGGTTTTCTCCGGATCCTCCGGTATCCTCCCACTGCTAAAGACCCCTACGCGCAAGCGAATTATTGAAATAAAATTGAACCGTGTGTTAGTCCCGAAATGACCTAGTTTGTGTCGAGTGGACGTTAAACCCATCTCTCTCTCTCGCTCTCTCTCTCTCTCTCTCTCCTCTCTCCGTCCCATTCAAACGACTATACTGTGTCCCTTGACAGGCCCTCTGACCTGCACCACTGACAAGGGGGAACCAAGCCGGGAAATCTCGGTAATGAAATCAAATGGGGTTTAAAGTCCTACTGTTCTGCTCCTAAACTGGGCTAATGAAGACGGGCATACGCCATACAGTGTGCTATGAGGGAATTCAAGCCCGACCGTCTCTTCCCCGTATCTCTCTCAATTTCCGAGACAGACACTCGCCCCCGTCCTGTCGTTTCCTTTGACAGCTGGTGTGAAGGCAACCAGTTGGACGCACCCAGTTTCTATACGGGTAGATGGTATTTTAGTTGTAGATATTGTAGAATTAGTATTGTCATAAAAGTAGGCCAGTCAACCAGATTTGGTTACAGAAGTACCTATGATAAATCATATTCCCCCCAAAACATCTTCACAAATAGGCCGCGACAGGCCATTTTCTGCAAAAACAGGGCCGTTAATGGTACATTTCCCGAAAGCTTAGGTGGACTTGTATATCTATTTTTGTTTTTATATATTTCTGAGCTCTACGATGCAAGTTCATAAGATATGCGCTATCCAGTTAGCTAATTAGGTACTTTAACTAGTTATCTCAAACCCTTTATGATAAAGAACTGGTCTCTATGGCTACTGTTCCATTAGAAACAGCCGAGAAAAAAAATTGTTCCCACAAAACAAGGTCCAGAGAAAATAAGAATTAAGGACTAGGAATTAAAAACTAGGAATTAAAAACACTGAATAAAGAGCTGTTTGGTCTTCCATACAAAACAAGGTCCGGGGTAATTAATAATATTATGCTAACTATTTACCGACCGGACTTGTGTAATAATAAATACTAATAAGATAATGCAATAAAACAGATCGTTACACACAGCCTTACCGATTATTATTAAAAAGACCTCATTTCCAACATCATCGACCCACGTCTCTGTTTCATTTAGATTTACATCAAAAAGTTGACATTCGCTTCTGATTTTGTTGAACGTAAATGCCACGCATCTTGATTCATATTCACATTCATGACTACAAAAGAGTCGCCCATCAGTATTATACGTTTTAAATGAAACTGCAGCCCTTTTATCTAATGTTATCAAATTGTATTTTATATCATAACCATTGGTGTTTAAACTGTTCAATAAACTTGGCATCCAGTATATTAGAATTACGCAATACAGTAAATTAAAGGTCGACACTTTCTTCGCCATGTTAACTACTCAAATCAATTAATAATCTTCATTGTTTCCTATAGTTTTCAGATTATTTGTCTCACCATATATTCCCGAACAATTGATACACAAACGCCACTCGTGGCGTAAAGAACCTTCGTAAGCTTCCGTTATATCGCGAGTCAAAGTTAAGTATGATATTTCTGTACATCAGTATTTAAAAGAACCTTTGTTTTCTGTATGGCTATAAATTATGTATCTTGTTTATTTCTGTACATCAGTATTTAAAAGAACCTTTGTTTTCTGTATGGCTATAAATTATGTATCTTGTTTAATGCTTACAAGAACTAGACTGTCCTAGTTAGACAATGTACGAAATGAATCAATTTCTTTTAATTTTAAATCAAACAATTCTTTCATAGCAACAACTCCATCGTCGGTATCCCCAGTGTGGTTACATTCCTTTCTACTCCACGAACCCCTAGGTTAATCAATGACGGGGGGAGGGGGGGAACTTGGTATATTTATTCCCTAAGGACGGCAACTATTGATGTTGGTGCACGACACGACACTAAAGAGGGTGGTGATAACATTCCAGACTGCTAACTTTAACAATAAGGAAATGCGACCCTTCTCATTTTATTGGAAACAACCCCGTCATTTTCGAACGAAAGAGGCAAACAAAATTTGTTACTAAAAACCAGCCTTCCACAGGAGTCGGCCCCTAAACTTTTTTTTTGGGAATTGTGTCTGGGACCATAGGGTAGGGACACAGTGGGTTTCAAGATGATACCCACGACAGGCTGGATGGGATGCACATGCGTGTGTGCGTATTGCATATTTTGACCGATTTCGATCTGAAAAAGGGTCGGAGGGGGTCCACATTTGGCCGAAGGGTGGTTGCGGGGGTGAGTTACTTGCCCTAAAAATATGGTGTCGTTAATACACGTTTTCACTCGAATATCCTAATTATTTCTTTCAAAAATGGCCTAAGCTCTTCGAGATTTCGACTACCCTGAGATAGACCATGCCGTTCCGCCATTGCTGCAAGTATGTGTGGCTTTATAGTGGCTGTAGTTTCCAGTAAGTGATTGCAGACACTCTTGGAATCAACCAGAGCAGAGTTTGTAGGGTTTTACATCATGTATTAGATGCACTGATGGGAAGAAAAAACCGCGTATCACTTTCCCTAAAGAAGAAGCATCACTTTGAGTACATGGATATTTCTACGCAGTAGCTGGGTTACAAAAGGTTTGACTTCCAAATTTTGTAGTGGGTGTCCATGCGAGTAAAAATCAGTTGGTGTCATCGGGCATTGTTGGAACATATAGCCAAAGCAGCTCCTTGAAGTACTACACATGGGGTCAAAGATTAGGTCATAACTAACATGGCTGAAACTTTCTAGACGCAAAGGTATCCATACCCGAAGTAAATATTTAAAAAATCTAACCACAATTTCCGGGGCTTTCCCCAAGTCAGACATGCCCAATATCTCCTCATGGGGCTAATGATATGGCGATCAGTTACATGGCTGAAACTTGACAGAAACAACGATCCATACTTGGAAAATATAATTTTCAAAAACCTAATTAATTTCTGGTTTTATTCGTTGGTGTTCAAGACAATATCGGAGTATATTTTTTTCAGCTGACAGTTGCCAGTGTTTATTTTTTAAGATGTTGTACCAAGGACTTCATCTTCATTAGGCAAGGCGTCAACATGCCATCCGTGCGGAAAACATACTGAAATAAACAGTCATAATATTAAAGACATGTTCCCACAACCAACTATAAAAATCATCTCAGATTCACGGTGCTATACTTTAAGACCGCTTTCACCAAATCATTACCAATGTTATCAATAGACGAAATGGACAAACATTGCACGAAGGGGAATTTAACAAATCAATACCAATGTTATCAATAGACGAAATGGACAAACATTGCACGATGGGGAATTTAACAAATCAATACCAATGGCATCAGTAGACAAACACGGACATTAAAAAAATATGATTACGAGAGAGAGAGAGAGAGAGAGAGAGATAAAATAGATGGGGTTTAACGTCCACTCGACACAAACTAGGTCATTTCGGGACTAACACATGGTTTAATTTTATTTAAATAATTCGCTTGCTCGTAGGGGTCTTTAGCAGTGGGGGACCCGGAGAAAACCCACGGGGTTGGACAGGCCACCCTACTCCTTGTCACGCACAACCGGGGATTCGAAACCACGCCAGTTGACTCAATGACAGGCCGTATGATACAGCACGCACGTGCTAACCATTCGGCCACCCAACCCCCTATATGATTACGAATGGTAACAACAGACAGCTCAGAGAAGTACATAACAATAGAGGGACGCCAATATTTACACGAATGGCTATGCGTTGTCCCTTGGCAGGCCCTCTGTCCTAAACCACTGACAAGGGGGTGGGGGGTGGGGTCCACGTCGGAGAATCGAACAGCGGGATCAAACACGGGTCCTCCAGCTTAGCGAGCTAACGTCTTACCCCCTGAGCCAACGCATCTACCGTCATTCGATGGTCCTCGGGTTCGATAGGAGGTTGGGAGGCCCGAAAATCTGAAAACGTGTTATTCGCCCTGCCCCTCCGTGCGGCAGTCCGTTCTGCCATCCTTCTGTCGATACATTCAGTCGTTAGCCCCTTATACAGTATCCTATCCTTAAATTTAGAAGCTGTAAATTTTCTCTTCTGCATTGAAAGAAAAGAAGTCCGAGACGTAGTTGAAGCGTATATGTAGTCCTCGCCCCAGTCCACATCTCGTTTTTGAAGGCGTTTCTTCAAATGGAAATACAATCACTGTTTTTATAGGCATAGCACGACGTTGGGATATTAAATTATGCAATGGATTTTATATAACGGGAGTTGATTTCAAACACACAGGTAAGTTTACAATAACCAAAGATAAGTAGTTTGATCATAATCGAAGAAATCCGTTTAAAATTTACGATGGTTCAGACAACTTCAATCACATTATTTTTTGTTTCTTGACCCCCCCCCCCCTCAATCAGTCCAGAGATCTACGTAACGATAAGCGAATACTTGTCGAAACGTCGTACTATGCCTATAAAAACAGTGATTGTATTTCCATATAAATTGTCTTGTGTTTTTTAGATACTGTTTGCTTTGTAAAGTTAACATAATAATTAAGTGGAGTTACCTACCCTGAATAAAATCTGCTGAAGGAAAATATCACGGTCTAATTATGTGACTCAATTCTGTCACAGAATAAACAATCAGCTTCCTCTTCTTCCTCAAAGTATGGATTTTCAATCAGACATACTTCATTATGGTATGCTAAATATAAATAAAAATATCACATACAATAATCACATTTTCTTCATCGTGGTATAATATATAGAAATAAAAAATATCACATTAAAGGCATATGCCACTGACGTACGTCTATTGCATCTATTATATGGAAGACCAAATGGGACAATATTCATGATTCTTGTTTCTACATTCCAGTTTGAACATTTTAGACACCAACGCAACATTCTAAACTAATGATTCTTGTTTCTACATTCTTATGTCAACATTTCATGCACAAAATCAACATTTTAAACAAAAAATTGACTTTATGTTTCATTATCTATCATTAAATATTAAAATTAAAAAATAATTTCTTAATTTTACACGACAAAAAAATCAATTCATTGGTTTCTGGAAGTATCTAAAAAAAATCTGGAATTTGAACTCTTATGAAAATATTTTCTACGTTTCAAAAAGTCTTGAAGTTAAAACCTTGAAATGAAAATGTCCAGAAAAATATAATGAATTATCAACATTATTACACCAGAGGGCGTTAGCGTATGTGTACAACTTTGATACAAACTATAGATTAGAAATCAAAAGTAGGAATTTTTAGTAAGCAGAAATTCGGCCTTGTATCTGTTATCACTCGTCACATCAGTCAGTTATATAGAGGTATGACTCGTGTTTTCCATTATCGTTCGTCACTTCCGATTCAGGAAACTTGTATTACTCAGCTATCGTAGCAATGATCTATGTGTTAAAATTATATTTGGAACGTGTTTAATTAGTTCTTTCACATATTTGGAATCTTTACCGTCTATTTGTCACCGTGATTCTTCTTTGGTCGCTAAAAGGAATCATTTCTTGCCACATCCGACACAAATTTATAAAAATCCAACACTATATTCATGTAGAATTGTGCGATACAAAAACATAAACAACTTTCATTTGAATCGGGCCGCGATTTTCAAACTAACGCTCAGCCAATATTCCAAATTTAAGAATGGAATTTTACCGTATACGAAAATGTGATCTGTAGCGTGTCCACAAACCAATTGTGGGCAGACGTACCAACGTCCGGACGGACAGGGGTGACAATATACCTGAAAATGTGGGCGTATCAAAATTACCGACTCTCTTGATGTAAAACGTTTTATTTGGTTATTATCTTAGGATTATATTACTTGAATATTAAGAACCTACACCAACCTTATAGATTTGCCAAATGTTTAGTCAGTTATTTTTTAAAATATGCAATCATATTCTCAACATATATCAATACCTCAAAAATCATAAAATCATAAAATTAAAACATCGGTATTAAATTGTGTCAACAGACAAACGTTTCTTTGATAACAGCTGTTTCCGTTATATAACAATATATAATACTTATACCCACATAAAAACTCAATATCACACAATACAACTGCATCAATTTGTATACACAACCTGCCTACTTTAGTGAGTAATGTTCAAATCGTGTCAAATCTATTCTGGTGCGATTTTTTTTAATATTTTGACCACCAGTATTGTTCTAATACTACCTTTCGGCTATTCATGTTCAATACATAGTGTGAATATAATAATAATTAATAATTCTTTATTCCCTTATAGGAATTCTTAAACATAGACAAGAGATGAGAAATATATATAAATAATACATGGGTATATGTTAACAAATTATAGCCTATTGCATTTCGTCTGATATTGCTTGGTTTAGTATACATATGCTTTGGGGGATAAACGATGATTGTCATCTTTTTGTTTTAAATGTAACCGATTACATGATTAATGATACGCCCCCGGGTTAAATCATCGTAAAATACATAGGTTCTAGCTATATAACTACAGTTTTTTTTATTTAAACAATATTTTATTCTTTTAAATTTACAAAATTTATATAATGATTATAGGATACGATAACAAGCCTTGTCAGCTTAATAATCGTTTCCTTATAAAACTCCGTCTTCATTAGCATAGGTTAGGAGCAGAACAGTAGGACGTTAAACCCCATTTCATTTCATTTCCTTATAAAACTACAGTTGCAAGTGTAACCGTCGTAAGTTAACGCCAATAGACGTGTAAGATCCTGGACAGCTGGAAGACGAGACAAGAACCCGTGGAAAGCAGGAAGACGCAACTAATACTCGTGAAAAGCAGAAATACGAAACAAGAACTCGTGGAAAGCAGAAAATATGAACTCTTAAGTTCTAGGAAGCCCTAGCTGTCTTTATTTTAAAGTATACTTACAACTTATGTTGTGTCTTTCATGAAGTGGCAGAGAAAGCAATCTTACCATTCCCAAAAAATCATAACGATAAGGGTCTAACAGTCTGTAAACATCTGATAGGTATTCTATCTGGGTTAGCATTACCGTGAATCCTGATATGAAAATAACGATTGCCAGCCATACCCGGAAAACAAACCGAATTGTGCCCCATTTCTTTTCTGACTGCATTTTCTTGGCTATTATTTCTTTGCTTGCGGTTTCTAGTTTCGTATTAAGAGCGGTGTCAATGCAAGAATTAATTTCTGTTTGTGACAGGCCCCACTGTTCGCCTAATTGGCGTAATTCTATAACTTCTTTTCGTACTTGACTGAGAACAGCAACATTGTCGTCACCCATCTTGACACGATCTTCAGTTAGCCTACTAAACCAGTAATGTACCTGGTGTTGTTACTTAATGGTTTGATTGCTTCAACTGAATGATTACACATATATGCATATTGAATTTACAATTATGTTCGCGCATGTTACTAGTCTGGTTTAGACGTAGACTGGTTTGTGAACTCTGGGAATGTGGCTGAGAACATATTTTGTCCCAAAAAGCTAAGCTTTGCCGATTAATGATACGTAGCCCCAACACTGTCTAAATTTCCTATTGTTCTGTTTGGTCTGGGCTAATGAAGACGGGCATACGCCATACAGTGTGCTATGAATTAAAATTTGCCCGGACAGCGGCGATACGATCTACGCTTATATCGAATTCCAACTTCAAAAGGATAGTTTACGTGCACGCCAATGAGTACACGGCACCACGGTTTTCGTCCCATCCGAACGACTTTACAGCTGACCTTGTCGGGCCCTCCGTCCTGCACCACTGACAAGGGCAAACCACGCCGAAAAATCCCATTGAATTTTCTCGGCCAACTCCGGGATCGAACCCACGACCTCCGGGCTAGCGAGCCACCGTCGCTCATCTTGTTTGGGGTAATATAGCCCGGATGGTACTGATGTACCATTAAACATCGTTTTATTTCTGTATTGAAACACACAAAAACTTGAGTTTTAACAGATGTTAATATGGGGTCACCCCGTAACACCAGTTTCTAATCCCTGGAGAGAGAGAGATAAATGGGGTTTAACGTCCACTCGACACAAACTAGGTCATTTCGGGACTAACATATGGGTTAATTGTATTTCAATAATTCGCTTGAGCGTAGGGGTCTTTAGCAATGGGGGGAAACCGGAGTACCCGGAGACAACCTTGTCACGTAAGGCCGGGCATTCTAAACCACGCTAGTTGACTCAATGACAGGCTTTATGATACAGCGCGCACGTGGTAACCATTCGGCCATCCAATCTCCCTCTAATCCCTGAACATTTAACGAATATCGGATTATAATTAACGACCCTCTTTGGCTTAATCACGTGGGCCAGTTTCATGGTTTAGTGAACTGTGTTCGTCATATAGCACGTGAACTGTCTTGGTCATATTTATCATTATAATTATGAGCAATTTATTATTAAAACTTATATAAGTGGTGAATGATTATTATCGTTATAGAATGGTTATTAATCATGTGACAAGAATACTCATACCGCATATTTCAAGGTTAATACATGACTGTTTTTATATCACCATTACATCGTTATGAAGGTTGAGTTCGAATGCCATGAAAATCGGACCAAAACTGCCGGACAAAATGGTCGCCGCTTGAACGCGAATAGTTTAAAAATATGGTGTATCAAGGCTGTGAACCCCGTAGAGGTCACAATTTTAATCCGATTTTGATGAAACTTGAAATGCCTGTTTATAACCCAAAGATCTTGGTTCCTTTCAATATTTCGTGAAAATCGGACCAAAACTTACGGACAAAATGGCCGCCGCTTGTACGCGAATAGTGTAAAAATATGGTATATCAAGGTTTTGGACCTTGTAGAGGTCACAATTTTAATCCGATTTTGATAAAACTTGAAATGCATGTTTATAACCCAAAGATCTTGGTTCCTTTCGACATTTGCGCATAACCCAAAGATCTTGGTTCCTTTCGACATTTGCGCATATCGAATCGTAAATTCCCGAATTGTGGCCCCTGATTGTACGAAAAATCGCCCTTTTTCGCTTGTGGTCCCTCTCAAGGTCACAATTATTATCCGATTTCAAAAAACGTTTGATTATATCACCGTTACACTGTAACGAAGGTTGAGTTCGAATTTCGTAAAAAATCGGACCAAAACTGACCGACGAAATGGCCGCCCCTCTACGCAAATAGTGTAAATATCTGGTATATCAAGGTTGTGGACCCTGTGGAGGTCACAATTTTGTACCGATTTTGATGAAAGTTGAAATGCATGTTTATAACCATCTTGGTTGTTTTTGATATTCGCGCATATTGGATCGAAACTTGATGAATTATGGTCCCTGATTAGTCGAAAAGTCACATTTTTAGCGTGTGGATTCTGTAGAGGTCACAAATTTTTTTCCCGAATTTAAAAACCGTTTAGATCACTATTCCACCATAATGAAGGTTGAATTGTAATTTTATGAAAATCGAAATGAAACTGCCGACAAAATGGCCGCTCTTTGTATGCAAATTGTATATAAGAATGTTATTCAAAGGTTATGGACCCTCTAGAGGTCACAACTTTTATCCAATTTTGATGGAACTTAAAACATATCTTTATATTCCAAAAATCTCAATCCTTTTTGACATTTGCGCATTTCAGACCATAACTTTTTGCATTATGACCCCTGATTGTACAAAAAATCGTTTTTGTTTTTAGCTTGTTCTCTATTTATCTCTTGCAAAATGTGGGCGTTTCCTGCCTGGCAGCCACTGATTGAATGTGATAGAGGCTACAGTTTTCAATATATTTAGTTTTCAATTCTGGCAGTGACAGTGACAGGATGAACCAATTGTTTTTCAGTATTGATTTTTAAAATATGGTATGAAGCACTGTTCTCTGGAAGGTCAAGGTCATGGTAAACGTAAATATCATGAGGGCATCTCCCTTTAATAACCAATTTTTGAATCTCTGGGGTTATACCAAATTCAGCAATTGGTCAGGCAACATGGGAATATAAACCCAAATTAGGAAAATCGAAGGGGCTACGGTTTGCGTTTACAACTTTTGGGCGTGATTTGACACGGAATGAGCATATGCCTTACAAAATTTGGTATACATCTAATAAGTCCTGATTCCAGAGAAGCAGTCGTATATGGATATTGGTAATACATAGCTGCTGTGTGGGCGCATTTCCACGAGGATTTGTCGCCAAGTCAGTAATTAATCATTTCATAGTTGATGAGAGAGAGAGAGAGAGAGAGAGATGGGGTTTAACGTCCACTCGACACAAACTAGGTCATTTCGGGACTAACATATGGTTTAATTTTATTTCAAAAATTCGCTTGCTCATAGGGGTCTTTAGCAGTGGGAGGAAACCGGAGGACCCGGAGAAAACCCACGAGGTTGGACAGGCGACCCTACTCCTTGTCACGTACAACCGGGGATTCGAAACCACGCCAGTCGACTCAATGACAGACTTTATGATACAGCGCGCACGCTAACCATTCAGCCATCCAACCCCCCATAGTTGATGAAATGTGACATAATTAATCCAGTAATGGCAGCCTCACTCCTCACCATATCAAATATTTAATATCGAATAAGTATTATAATACATCTTCCATCGTTAAACCCCATTTCATTTCCATTTGGATTCCACGACTAACGAGTATCAACAATCGAGTATTTATATCTTGATGTAGCGCGTGACCTCTCTCAATATGATTAATACGCACAAACTTTAGGGGATCACGTGGCTAAGTGGGTAAGACGCTGGCTCGCTAGCCTGGGGGTCGGGTGTTCGTTCCCTGCATTGGCCGAGAATGTTCATCCAGATTTTCCGGCTTGGTTTCCCCTTGTCAGTGATGCAGGATGGAGGGCCTGACAAGGACAACTGTCTAGTCGTTCGGATGGGACGATAAACCGACGTCCCGTGTTGACATTGGCATGTACGTAAAAGATCCCTTGACAGTTGGAATTTGATATAAGAGTACGCCGTAGTGCTGCTGTCGGGGCAAAATGTCCCTCATAGCACACTGTACGGCGTATGCCCGTCTTCATTAGCCCAGGTTAGGAGCAGAACAGTAGGACGTTAAACCCCATTTCATTTCATTTCATTTTGTACAAACTTTAAATCCATCACGGACTCTGGATCAATGGTTGGTGTTATTTTATTATGTTATGAATGTTTTGTGTAATTAACATGCTGACGATTTTGAGAGAGGGGGGGGGGGCATTGGTGTGCAGGAAAAGCATATTCCTTGTATTCCAGCCCGTGAGTACATCGAACAGAGACGAGGTCAATATAGCCATACTTAGGTACTTTTGCAATGGAAATCTCACTCTATGCCCAACTGAATTCCAGATTGTGTGTAACCAATCAAGCAAATTATTCCTGCTACACTCACCGGCCAGCATCAAAATTTAAAAAAAAAAACAACCGAAAACTAAAACGTTCTTCGTTATTTTCCGGCGTGAGTCCCTCTTGTCATTGGTGCAGGACAGGGGGCATGGCAAGGTACAACCTTTAGTCGTTCGGATTGGACGAAGAACTAAGGTTCCGTGTACACATTGGCGTGCACTTAACAGAATCCGTGAGAGTTGGGATTCGAATTTTCCCGGAATAGGAAAAATAGAGGTTAAACCCCACCCCATTTCATTTCATTTGAACACGATGAAAAGTTGATGTTACGCCTCAAGCTTTCCTGATCTAACCCTTAGAATTTGGCGACGTTTTCAAAGATGGTTGACGTTGAATCATCTCCCTGTGAACGAAAATTCGTGTCACTGTCCAGTGGCCACTCTTGTGAATGGGGGTAGTATAAGGCTGATCCTGAGCTATACAGATGTTAATGATTGCTCATTATTATCAGATGGCTTCCTTCGAGGTACTCATGCATTTGTATCAAAACCTGCTAATTTATTGAGATTTTTACCAAAACATGCATCATTCCAACAATTTCTCAGGCCTGTAATTGTTGGGAATAGCAATGTGGTGCAAATTTATCACTTGCCATGCAGACATGTCATAAGGGGAGAGAGGGAATTGGGTATTAACGCCCACTCAACACGAACTAAGATATTTCGGGACTAACACCTTGTACAGATTTATTTCAACTATTCAATTCACTAGCGCCCATGCGTGTGGTGACCTTTAGCATTGAAAGGAACCGGAAACAACTCCCACGAAGTTAGACAGTCAACCCCACGTTTGACCATTGCCCCTCCCTCATTCTCTAAGGCTGCAGGTGTTGCGAAAACTTTGGGAGAGTGGGCGAATAACTCGAACTGCTGTGGGCGTAGGTGCCTGGCAACACATTTTTATCAGCTTGAAAATATAGTTAAAGGGCAGTATTGGTGTCAGACATTATCACATATATGATAGAACTGGTTAAACACACCAAATATAATTTTAACATGGAGATCATTGCTACAATAGATGGGTAGTGAAGATTTCAAAAAACGGAAGTGACGAAAGC